AGGATGCCTTTCCATGACCTGTGCCTGGTTACTCTGCCTTTAAAAGTCAAGCCAAGAGTGACTTCTTTACCTTCCTATCCTGGGTCAGATGCCCCCTTCCTTCTGTGTATTTCCAAACATGGTTCATAGATCGCTGCTGTGATGGATTGTTTCCAAAGATGGTCACAATAGTTTCTCTGATCCCTCACAACATTTTGTAATGTGACTTTGCAAGCTTGCTTCATTAAGAAGCAGAGCCCATTTCTCTTCCCCTTGCATCTTGTGACTAACTTTGACAACAGAATGAGGTAGAAGTGAACCTAAGCCTTAAGAGGAGTGTGGTTTCCATTTTCACTTTCTTGGAAGCTAGCCTTCATTTAAAGAAGCTCAAGCTACTCTATTGAAACTGAGAGACCACATGGTAAGGGTATCCCTGTGAAGGAGATACAAGGTTCCCCAGACAACAGCCAGCACCAAGGTCTCAGTGGGTCCATATAGGATGCTCATTAAACATCATATGGAGCACAGACGGCCATCCCTACCAAGACTTGCCTGAATTCATAGCCCACAGAAATAATCAGCAACTGTTTAAAACTATTGAATTTGGGGGGTATTGGAGTAGTTGTTATACAGTAATAAATAATTGCAACATCTATTATAGAACTTGTCATTAAATATTATAGTTATTTATTTACTTATCTGCTACGCTGATGAGCTACTATTAATAAAGACAGAATATTTTCATCTGAATGACTATAGCATCTGACGTATGGGAATGCTTTAGAATGATGAACCCGTGAAAAAATGAGACTCTTTAAGGAGATCTCAGAGAAACATTGTCACGTTGAGGATATGGTAAAGGAAATGAGAACCAAACATAAAAGCTAGTAGAAAATGATTGTAGGAGAAAAGAGTGGATGAGCATTCAGAGCAATTGCAAGGAATCTCCAAAATTTGTAGTTTATGAGTTCTCTTTATAATTGGTGAGATTATTGACCACTGTCTCCATCAGTGTGCAGATTAGACGATCCCCACAGACATGAATATTTGGTATGGATGGAGGTGTAACAAGGGCCTGTCAGGTAGCTATCACTATGTGCAATTAAACTGTAAGTCATGGTTCTCACTGTCCAGAAGTTTATACTGTAACAGAGAAGCAGATGTACCAGGACATTGTAGGCTTCAGAAGGATATGAAAAAGTAAGGAGAACAGAGGCTCATATTCAATGGTTACAGAGCTAGGAAGGATTTCCAAAAATCTGCCTATTCTTTCCCCTTCAGGGAACATTTATTAAGTACCAACTGGGCATGGCCCTTTCTATTATGCTGAAGCTTCACCAAACTGAGAGAAGTGTCTCAAATGTTCTGTACTCTGTCATGCCTCACAGCCTTTGCTTTTTCCCCCCTTCCTTTCTGGAATGATTTATGACCTCTGCTCCCCTGCCCTTCACCTAGCAATGCTTACATTCATCTCTGGGGTCCCTCTCTCTTCTTTTCTTTATTTGGCCCCCAGGAATAAAAGCCTTATTTGCTTTGCCATTTCAAACGTCTCCAAATTCAGTCTGAGTCCTCTCTGCTCTACAAAGCCATCATGGGCCACCCCAACCTGGGGCTTCTTAGAATATAGTAGAGAGGGAACTGGCTTTGGAGCAATATGGATTTAGGTTCAAATCCTGGCTATGGGGCCTGTAACTCTGCACAGGTTCCTTAACCTCTTATGTTTTTTCATCTGTATATTGGACATGATGCTACCACTTCATGGGGTTGGAATGAGAGCCTAGGAGATTGCTATGTAAAGTGTTTAGTTGAGTCCTGGTATATAGCATCTCACTGACATAGGCCATTGTTTTCCTTCTCTCTGAACTTCTGGTATTTAATATCTGTACCACTCATTTGTCCTTAAATCATAGTTGCTTTGTGACAGCTCTTGTCCTGTACCATCATTTAACTTAATGCATTTATTGCTCAATTTGCATATAAGCTTTTTCCTAATAGCTAAATAGTCCTATTTTGTACATCTTTATATGTCCCAGGGACAAGAGATTCTTAATAAATATTGGTGCGTGAACAAATAAACGGTAGAATGAGCAACTACCTCTCAGTTCTGTCTATACTACATTTTGTAAAGTACAACATTCAGGGTCAAAAACTCAGCGAATTAGAATACTCTAATGTCGGGACATTTTTGTTTTCTAGGGAAGGAGTGATTAGGGAGAAGTTCAACAGTTTTCCTTGATCCTATAGGTCAGGGTAACAAGGGGGAAATGCAGACCCCATCCCATGAAAAGGTAACTTGGAGGCGATGCAGTATTTAGAACAAAGAAGACACTAGGACTACCTCCCCAGCTTCAGGCTTTCTTAATATGAATGTATAGCCAGGTCAGGATTAATGAGTGGGATTGAAAAAGCAATTATGTGACTAGTAATCCCCAGTTAATTTTATGGGTATTAAGTAAATCAATAGGAAATAACAAGTTTGAGTTAAGATATTAAGGGCCCTTCCATCATGTATATGGATATGCTCATGAGCAGAGAGAATAAATCCTTTAGGACAAGAGTGTTCTGTTACTGACTGAGGCTCCATCTGTCAGAAGTCGGAGGTAGGATGACATATTACGAGTGAACAAATAAAGAGACTTAATCAGTGATGAAAACCAAGAATCAGTGCATCCTCAGGTCATGTGGGGTTTAAAGAGAACACAACACACAACAGGGTCAAGCTCCAAAAAACTCCAAAAAGGAACTAGAAGTTTTCCAGATAGAAGGAGTCCGCTCCCTTGCTCAACTTGGTATCAGGGTAGTGAGCTGGGCTCTCCCACGAGGGTGTTGAAACCAGGCTACACTGGGACAAAGAGAAGGAAGGTTCTAAGGAGAGTGACTAACAATGACTTGCATACTCTTTTTTGCACCAAACAACCCTTTGTTCAGAGTCCCACAGGGTCCTGTGACACATAAAAGAAACAGAGGTATTGCTGTATGATTGCAAAGAAGCAGGAAGAGAAAGCATGAGGGGATCTTGGGAGAAGCTGGTATAATCTTCGATTCTACTTCCTACGACCTTAAACCTGGCAGAACGTGTTGGGAAGACCACAGGCCCAGGAGATCTGTAAGCCTTTATGAATTGCTCTTGCCAGCTGTCAAGGATTTGGGTTAAGATCTGTTGGTTGAAGGTCTCTAAAGCAAAATGTACTAAAACTAGTGACAACAATCATGTAGTCAAGATGACTACCTCCTCCTCAAGGGGGAAAACAGGCCCTTGTCTGTCTTCCTGCACCAAGATCTCAGCCGGGTTTATTCTTTCTGGAAAATATTTTTCAAGTCATAACTGAGGCTTTCAGTGGAAGCCAGTTCCAACTTAGGAACATCTAAATATATCTGAACCAACAGGTTCTGGATGGCCCGTCAGAGGGAGCTCTGGAAGAGGCAGCAGCTATCCTCCTGTTTCCTTCTGCTCTGAGACAGGCCTTGATGTCCAAGAGTATTTTCTATCTTACAGGAGTACTTAGTAATGAATCTCGAGGATCTTGAGTTTCATCTTTACTTAGGAGTGGTTGTAACCATTTAGCTAAGTTTCAAGCCTCAGACACGAGAAGGTGGTTAGAAAACCAAGATAAACTAAAGAGACAGAAGAACAGCTTTGAAGGCCTTTCTGCCCAAACGAGAGGCCTCAGGGTCAGACTGGATGAGAGGGTGAGCGGTTGTGTGGCCGGTGTTTCCAGCATGTCAGGGGATAGGAGCATCTCGGGTGGTTAGCCCTCCGAATGAACACTGACAGACAGAGGGTGGATATTATTAGGATTGCCCTCTGGGGAAGATAGGGGTTGAATGTTTTCTCTTCATATCGTGATACGTTTCAGATACTCTGCTGGGTCAGTGGACCCATCCAAGCTTAGGGTAATGCCTATTGTTAAGAGGGGAACACATTTTGGGACACCCCCCCACCCAGGCTCCAGAGTGTCCCTCCCCACCCACCTCTTCAAATTGGAAGCATAAATTCAATTCACTGAGGGCTGGGCCAGCCCCCAGCCAGTAATGCCTGTCCTGTGATCTTAGATCAATCTGACCTTCTTCCTGGGTGGGTGCTGGCTCCTTGAGGACGGATGTGTAATGCGGGACTGCACAGGTTCCCTGCCCAGCTGTGCATTTCCCAAGAGTGAAGCCACCTGTTTGGCTATGCTAATTTGCTCCTGAAGCAGATGAGCTCACCTGTGTTGCTTTAGCAGAGGGCATTACGTGAGGAGGAGGGCACTGCCTTTTCACAGGTGCCTCGTATACCCGGGCTCCCTCTTTGAATACACTAACAACATTTCTGAAGTTTCTCCTCCCCCCGGCACATCCCCATCCAACATTCTGTCAGCGCCAAGAGCCAAGAAAGACAAAAAAGTATCAAATGGGAAAACAATGAAAAGCCTGTTTAGTTCCTGTGTGCAGCGCGAACAATAAGCCACCCTTTCTGAAGTGTCTCAGAAAGGAATGCCTGTGATGTCCTTTCAAAGAAGGGCTCTGGCCCCAAATCAAGCTGTAAGCCATGACAATACTCCACTAAACAGGGCAAAGAATTCGCCTTTCAGCCAGAGAGGCATTTCTCCTGCACTGGGGAAAAATGCCGCCCACACCACACCACCTCAGCACATTTACTATCCCTGCTCTTTTCCTTCCCAAGCCCGAGGAGGGTAGCTTGCTGTGATCCTTTGATGCACGGAAATGCAGGGGACCAGTCTGAACAGTCAGCGCTTTGCCCCCCAAAATGCTCACAACAAAGCAGAAGTCTAGTAGGTATGTTCGTTTTGGGGGGAGTTTAAGGCTCTCGGGTCTGTGTACCTGCTCTTGTACAGAGACATGCTCGACTTCATCCACAGCTCGACTTTTTCGTAGCCAAGCATTTGAAATTAGCCGAAGTGTCAAAACACATAAAACATTTCAGAGGAAGGACTTTCAGTGCAGCAGCTCCAAACAGCCTCGGAGAGAAGGAGGGAGAGAGGTCCAAGTCATTCAGACTACAGGGAGTTCTCGTCTCTTACCTGGGCTTCTTTTACTATCCCATTCTTCGCGCAGTTTCCACTGGCTGAGCCGTCGCTCTGTTTCTCGTGATTGTGCAGATTCCCGTTGCAAACAGCACCACCTCCAGGATTAGCCATTTGTGCGAAATGCTAGAATCCAGCAGGTTTCCTTCCAGAGGTTCTTGGCAAGCTTTGGCTTGGAAGTTGGAGAGGGGATGGGAGGAAGCACTTTGGGCTGAGCCCCTGAAGGAATCCTACCTATCAGGCTTTCCAGGAGAGCCGCAGCCTATCTTTGGGGCAGATCTTTGAAAGGAAAAACAAGTGGTTACCTTTATACTCCTCAGCTCAGAATGCAATCTTCAGGGCAACAGACCTGCTCCTGAAACTACAAAGGAGATTGCCCCTGCTGGCTCCTTGGGGGGCAAGAGGAAATCAGGAGACTGCAAAACCCCAGTGGCAAATTGCAAGGAGGCGGGCTGGGAGGTGGAGCATCTTTTAAAGACACACACACACACACACACACACACACACACACACACACGGCACAGTCAAGGTCTCCTACATGTAGTCAGTTCCGAATTTACGTCTATCCCCACCCTCTCCCTCCTATATCTAATTACAACTGCTGGCTGTAAACTGCTCTTTTTTTTTTCCTGTGGGGGAAAAAAAAAAAAAAACACTTCACAGTGGCTGCCAGGACTGCCCAGAGGAAGAGAAGAATGAGAAGTCACTGTTTCAAGGGCACACAGAGTTTTAGCTGGTTCCGTGGGTGACGGTGATGGCTGCACAACCATGTGACCGTACTTCATGCCACTGAACTGTACACTTAAAAATGGTTAAAATGGGAAATTTTGTGTCATGTGGATTTTACCATAATCCAAAAATGGCCAAAAAAAAAAAAAAGTAATACTATTCAGAACCCACCTGATGTTAAAACCAGGGATCTAAGGAGAGGTATTAACTCATCAAGGATTCCAGGAGCGCACAAATCTGGGAGACAGAAAGTTCAGTTTCTTGTGAAGTCTGCATTATCACGTGACTTTGGGAGAGCCATTTACTATCCTTTGCCTCCGTTTCTTCAGCTAAGAAGGGAAAAACATTTCTGGTGGGCTAACGTCCAGTGGGACAGCAGGGAAAGATACGTGTGGCTTGGGTTTGTTCCTGACACAGGTGTTGTGAGGCAGGTGGCGACTGCCGTGTCCCGTGAACACCTGTGGTTTACTCATTAACTCTTACTCTCTCAGTGCATTAGGCAACTGCGTTCCATCACCATCAGATGGCATTGTGCTTTTGGGACAGTGTCCATCATTTACAGCCTGTTCCGTCCTCCCAAGCCCACTGTTACGGTTCCCCTGAATGAGACTTTTTAACATCAGGCACATGGGAATAAAAACCCCAGCCATATACTGGGCCAATGGACAAAAACAGAGACACACACATTAGCAAAAAACAAGAACAGAAAAATAGAGATGGCCCCTGTAGTTAGAGCCTCATTTCTTGGTTCTCAGCTCTCCTGGATAGGGTTTGTTTTCCCTCCAGAAAGATGTGGCTTATGGCGGAGGTGATGATAAAGCCTTTTCTAACCATGATTTGCATAGGAGGGTTGCCATCTTTTCTGCCCCAGGGAGAGCGAAAGGAGTAAGATAAGGTCTTGGGCTAAATGATGGGATGGGGCTAATCCCAAGTGTGCCCACCCCTTGGTGTCTCAAACTCAGAATTTTTATTGCATTTCTTCTAACTTTGTCGTCAGAGCAGAACTAGCTTTTTACTGGTCTCTCTCTTCCATGGTTGTTATGCTGGGAGTCAGAGGCTAAATCTGTGTTGGATATTTCCTTCTAGACTTACGCAAAATGTCAGAGGGGTGCCTGGGTGGCTCAGTTGTTAAGCATCTACCTTCAGCTAAGGTCATGATACCAGGGTCTTGGGATTGAGTTCTACCTTGGGCTCCCTGCACAACGGAGAGCCTGCTTCTCCCTCTCCCACACCCCCTGCTTGTGTTCCCTCTTTCTCTGTGTCTTTCCCTGTCAAATAAATAAATAAAATCTTAAGAAAAAAAAAGAAAAAAGAAAATATAGGAGGCACACGATAACTGCTGGCCTGCCTGCCCCAGCTTACTTAGGAAGACAAGTTGAAGACGCAGTGTTATTTTGACTCAGCTCTAATGATCCATACAAGATTATTTTTGGAAAAAAGATTTCGAGATAACTAAATTCTGAACGTTAGGTATTTCTATCCCACCTTCTTTTCTTTTCTTCTCCCTTCTCCTTCCCTTTTGTGTTTCAAATTTCCACTTTTTCCTTTTTTCCTACCCTTCTGTCTCCTCCTCCTCCTTCTCTTTTTATTTTTCTTTACTTTCCTTTTACAAGGGGACAAAAACTATATGTAAAGAAAACATCTTAAAACAAAACTGAAATCTGCATCATTTTGTTTCCCCTCATCCCAATTACCAACATTAAGTAATCATTCACCAACCTTCAGGAAATACCTACTACATGTTCTTACCCTTGAAACTTTTCTACTTTACTTGACGTGTTGGGATATGTGAATTGTTATATGCACAAAATCATCTCAACACATCAACCATTTAACATCAGGTACAGTGCATACGTGTAATCATGGTGACTCATTGTTTCTCCAGTCAAAAGAAGTGTGGCGATCTCTTTGAGTTGAGTTGTAGCTTTGAGTTTAAGGACATTGATTGCTATGGTCTGAATCTTTGTGTCCCCCTAAATTTACAGACTGAAATTATGATCACCAAGGTGATGGTATTAGCAAGTGGGGCAGCTAGGAGGTGATTAGTTCCTGTTGGGGGATTCCTTGTAAATGAGATTAGAGCTCCCTTGCCTTTTCAGCCAGGTGAGGTAACAGTGAAAAGATAACCATTTAAGAAGTAGGCTCAACTCCATCAAAAAGGATGAATAGCCAACTTTTGTATCAACATGGATGGGACTGGAAGAGATTATGCTGAGTGAAATAAGTCAAGCAGAGAGAGTCAATTATCATATGGTTTCACTTATTTGTGGAGCATAACAAATAACATGGAGGACATAGGGAGATGGAAAGGAGAAGGGAGTTGAGGGAAATTGGAGGGGGAGATGAACCATGAGAGACTATGGACTTTGAAAGGTGGGGGGTATTATGGAGGGCACATAATGCATGGAGTGCTGGGTGTGGTTCATAAACAATGAATTCTGTTACACTGAAAAGAAATTAAAAAAAAAAAAAGAAGAAGAAGAAGAAGAAGTAGGCTCAAATCTTCCAGTTCCTTGATCTTGGACTTCTAGCCTCCAGAACCATCAGAAATAAATTCCTATTGGTTATAAGCTACCCAGTATAGGGTATGTTGTTATAGAAGCTTGAACATATTAAGATATCAAGCAACACTTAAACACCAACTAAATATTGGGTATGATTTGGTGTCTCTGAATAATGAAACACACTTCAGATTAACCAATAAACTTAATAAATATTCAAATAATTGTGATGTATTAGGTATTCACTAAGCTTTTCCATACAATAATGAACGGGACAAACATAGACTCCACCCCTCAAAACCCAGAGTTAGAAGCACCTTCATATCTTCTACTCAAGATACCCCATTAGTGAAAGTAAAAAGAAACCTGTCCATTTGTGTATTTTTTTTTAAAGATTTTATTTATCTATTTGACAGGCAGAGATCACAAGTAGGCAGAGAGGCAGGCAGAGAGAGGAAGGGAAGCAGGCTCCCCGCCGTGCAGAGAGCCCGATGCGGGGCTCGATCCCAGGACCCTGGGATCATGACCTGAGCCGAAGGCAGCGGCCTAACCCACTGAGCCACCCAGGCGCCCCTGTCCATTTGTGTATTAAAGGCAAAGATGAAATTAGTTAACCATGGCCTTCTGGTATTCTCTGAAGGGAATTTTTGGCCCAGATGCCTGCTTATAGAAGTAGGCAAGACAGAGATGTTCAGAGGCTTGATAACATGTTCCAAAAACACTGGCAGAAAAGGGAGGAAATGAACAAAATAAATGGTCAGAATTTTACAGTGTCTAGAAATCTATTCATTCTCTGTGACTTGATCTTTACTTATGTATTGGAGTGTGACGCTGATGCGAAAACCAAAGTTGCCACAAGTTAAGTGACTTTCCAAAGACACAGGGCCATGGGGCAGAAGCAGGGGTGAGAGCCCAAGTTAGAATCTCTGGGTCCGGAGCAAGTCCCTTTCCCACATATCATGATAGCTCTCCTTCAGACAACCATCGACCACTACAAAGAGAAATAACAGAAGGTGTTATGGTTTGAGACATTTTATTGAATTAGCAAAATAAGAAATAAATTTTTATTTTGCCTCCTGATCCCTGAAGGTCTTATGTCTATTAAATAAATGCAAACATCAAACAATACCTCCATTCCTCCTGGGATTGGATAGTCTGGGATTCCTCTACAGAGAAGTATTTAAATTCCCTAAAGAATCCAGTCTAGAAAATTTTCGGTGTCGAAATAATTCAGATCAAAAGGGTTTCTTATCAATAGTTTGTAAACACCATAACATCAGAAGGTCAGATACCAATGCTACAGATGTCAGGCGTCAGATTTTTTTTTTTTTTCTTTTGAAACATTGGCTACTAGAATGGCAATGCTATTTGAAGTTAGAAAAATCCTGTTATTGATGACTCTTACCCCAAAGTCAGCAGCAGTGGAGTGATTTTGTTTTTCTTCATTTATAATCATCCTCTAGGAGTGGTGGGCCTGAGTCTTTGGGGCAGCAGTTACCTTCAGAATGCCCTCAGCAAAGCCTATGGATGTCTGGACTCTTCAGCTGTTGAACGGCATCTGTTAAAAGAAAACTCCAAACTTATGCAAAGTGGAGTAAATCAGAAAGAGAAACACAAATATCATATCATATCACTTGTATGTGGAACCCCCAACATAAAACAAATGAATATACAAAAAGCAGAAATAAACCCATTAATACAGAAAACAATCCGGTGGTTGCCAGAGGGGAAGGGGCTTGGGGAAAGGGAAAAATGGGTAAAAGGGAGTGGGAGGTACAGGCTTCCCTGAATAAGTCATGGTGATGAAAGGCACAGCATAGAGAATATAGTCAACGGTATTATAACAGCATTGTGTGGTGACAGCTTTAGCTACACTTGTGGTGAGAATAGCATAATATATAAAGATGTTGAATCTCTATATTGCATACCTGAAACTAATGTAAAATTGTAGTGTTAACGTTGTGTGTCAACTACACTTCAACAACCATCTCCTCCCTGCCCTTCCTCCCACAGATTTTCAGGGTTGAGACTCTGAAAACATAAAATTAGGTACTTCTCAGAAGTACTCCAGAACCTCTCCTATAACCCAGCTGTTCCAGATGTTTGGGGGTGAACTCCTCATGAAACCTACCTAGTTTTGTTAATCAGAAAATTTTATTTTTTCACTAGAGTTTCTTAGTTCCCGTAAGGAATTCTTAGCACAAAGCAATGATGATTTA